AAAATACAAAGTTACTAGATTTTTTTAAAAAAAAAAATTGGGATTTTGAAGAGGTATGTATATTTCTATTTAAATAGATTATGGGGAAATAATTAATAGAGATGAGATTTTTATATAATCTAATAAGAAAATGATAAATAATAAATATTCTTTTTTTTTAAAAAAAAAAAAATGGTTGCAAGTTATAAGGTATAAGTTAGTCAAAAAGGTAATGAAAGGGTATATGTGAGCCGAAAAGTTAATGGAAGGGTATATGTGAGCCAAAAAGGTGGTATTTTTTGACCAAAACATGGATGGAGTGTATTTTTAGATATTTTCCTATAGTTTAAGGGTAGTTTCGGCCCTTTTCCTCAAGTAATATTCTTCTTTTTCTCAAGTGTATTAGCTCATTGATGTCGGTTAAGCTTAGCATTTATTGTGTTCATTTTCTTGCAGGTTGAAGCCCCTAAGAAGAAGGTCAAGAAGACATCTGTACCAGTGACTGAAATTGTTTATGGTGCAATGGCAGCTGCTGATGTTCAGAAGGCTGTTGAGAAAGAATTTGAAATGGCTCTTCAGGACCGTGTTATGGAGGAGACAAAGGACAAAAAGAATGCTGTTGAGTCCTATGTTTACGACATGAGGAATAAGGTATCAGTTGATTTTTTATGGTGGTTGTATGAAAACATTTCTTACGTCACTGACAATTATCTTCTTTATATATCCAGCTTTCAGATAAATATCAAGAGTTTGTAACTGATTCAGAAAGAGAACAATTTATGGCTGTACTTCAAGAAGTGGAAGATTGGTTGTATGAAGATGGAGAGGATGAAACTAAGGGTGTTTACATTGCCAAGCTTGAGGAGCTTAAAAAGGTTGGTTGTTTTTTGCATACCCTATTTTTGTAATTGTTTTGGCATATACAGAGCTGATTTAGAGTGGATCTGCAGCAAGGTGACCCGATTGAGCAACGATATAAGGAGTACACTGAGAGGGGTCCTGTGATTGATCAATTTATTTATTGCATAAATAGTTACAGAGAGGCGGCAGTGTCAAGTGATCCGAAGTTTGATCACATTGATTTAGCAGATAAGCAGAAGGTATGGATAAATCTGCTTGATCTTGTTATTTGCCTTCCCTTTTTTCCATCATATGCTCACCCATCTTCTTCTGAGAATTTGGTTTGGTGCTTATGTTTCTGTTGGACTTCCTAGGTTTTGAATGAGTGTGTCGAAGCCGAGGCTTGGTTTAGAGAGAAAAAGCAGCAGCAGGATGCTCTTCCAAAATATGCCAACCCTGTTCTATTGTCAGCTGATGTTCGAAAGAAGGCAGAGGCACTTGATAGGTACTTTTGTTTACTGATATTGTTTAACTATAACTTGTAGATTTAAATATTTGGGTTAATTGTACTGTCTGTTGGTGTCATTTCTTGCTTCTCCAGTAGTTCTGTCCCGTCTTTGTAGGAAGCCCTTTCTTTCTTTCTTACTTCCTTCCCAATTTTTCCGTCTGCTTAGCCCACTTGTTAACTATCTGCATCTACAGGGTCTGTAGGCCTATAATGACAAAGCCTAAGCCAGCTAAGCCAGCAACTCCCGAGACACCACCACCTCAATCTCCTCAAGGAGGTGAGCAACAACCTCCGAGTGCAGAGAGTCCTGATGCAGGAAATGCAACTGAGGGTGCCAGTGTTGGCAGTGAAGTACCACTTGCTGCTGAGCCAATGGAGACTGACAAATCTGAGACTGCACCAAGTGCGTCATGAGTTAAGTTGATGGTTTGATCTTCAAAGAGCTTATGAAGGCACAGACCTGGGTTCGTTTTGTATTACTTTTGTCATTTTACCCTAGACTTTTTAAAGGATCTATAGTAGCAATCAACATTTTGTCGTTAGATTGGTGTGATCAATTTCGTCTGGCCATGTCCGTTCAGGCTATATTATTGTTAATGATACTCTAAAATCCTGGCTTTCAGGGATTTTGTTTCAATGTGAAATTCAATTGCTGTTCTTTCTCACATTTTGTTGCTCCTAAGTGATGATGATGCGCACACCCTATAGTAGAATCCCAAGTATTCATTTTTAAAGGTGATATTTAAAACACATGTGCAGTTTACAGTATGTTCAATCTTTAACCATTTGCTGCAAATAGTACAAAAACAAAACTAAACAGATCAAAAGAGGAAGACGCAGAGATTTCTTCTATTGGAAATTCAAAATGACTTTAACGGAGAAGTTCGTGTACCTTCAAAATATACTGTTCCATAGTATTGCAGAGGTTGTAAGTTGTACGATGCCATTATTACTTTAATTATATTCTTCAATTATACTTCAAACTTAAATTAATTAAGTCCTCCCCCTCTTACTCAGAATAGCTAGCGAGAGGAATACTACTGATTATCTTTGAAAGAAGGCTTTTAAGAATGAAAAAAATATTATCTTTAGGATAGAGAGCCCCCCGTCTGCCTTTTCATATACGAGTGAGTGAGCGCTTTTTCTGCTATGAATGAATTACCTCTCCATTTATTTTCAAGCTTGCTCTTCAAAGTAATAGAAAATATTTTTTAATTATACTCTAAACTTAAATTACATCCTTAAAATGTCATTTTTAGCAGAAAACATTCTTCAAATATTTTAAAATAAACAATTTTCATCCTTGTACTTGAATTTATTGTAAAACTAATCGATATATCCCACAAAAATTAAGTCGTCCCTTCCTAATTATTATTCTTAAATATGTGAAGAATATTATTCTGAACTTCTTCGTAATTATGTTAAGAATTATGCAAAAAAATTTAATTTAATCCTTTTTTTCATTCATTTTCATGTAATTTTAATTAAAAATACTATTAGTTTGAATATGTTTCTTCTCAATTGAATATGCTAGAAGCGACATTTGTTGGAGACTTCCGCTTTTAATACTGTAAAATGAAATTAATCAATATTTTGGTCACTTTAATATTAGATTGACCAAAAAATCTATTCATTTATTGGTTAAGAAAAAAGGTAAAAATAATTAATCTTTAACTTCTTTTCGTTACGAAAAAGGCAAATCATGTGTACTCATATCTTCCTATCATTTTTAGTTTCCATGAGCAATAGTGTCTAAGATTTATTTTTAAAGAACTTCTTGTAGAAAGTAATGAAATTTTCCAGAATAACTTTTGTTGATAGTCACGTTAACTACTCATTTTTCCGTAAGATCCCTTAATTCTTTGACAATATCTAATAAAAGGATGAAAGTTGTTCACTTACATATACTTAAAGAATGTTTTCTGCTAAAAATGATATTTTTAAGGATGTAGTTTAAGTTTGGGGTATAGTTAAAGGATGTTTTCTGCTAAAAAAAAATACTTTAAGGATGTTTGTGACATATTAAAAGATATTTTTGGGCAAAATATCGACCTACAAAATGCACAGGTTCCATAGTATTGCAGAGGTAGCAAGTAAAGAGCCTTAAATAGCCAACATTCAGAATTCAAACGACCTAAATAAAGTTCAAAATTTAAATTCATTATAAACTAAATAACTTATTTTACAAAAAAATTATTATTGTAACTAAAAACAAACTTCAGAAACAAGTTAATAATCTAATAAACTTATTTTCTGTTACAATGGCAATTCACCATATTTTTTAACTTTTAAAAAAGGTTAAAATGACATATTAAAATAATTTTAAAATACTATTTTTTCACCTATCATGTTAAAAAAAATTATATTTCGCATAACAGCTACTATAATCTAATATGATATATATAATCTTTTAATTAAAAATGTGACACTATTTTTTTTTATGTATAAACAAACCTAAATCTAGGGTGTGTTTGGTATCAAGGAAAATGTTTTCCTAGAAAATATTTTCCTGGAAAACAAGTAGATTTTGGACTTATTTTCTTATGTTTGGTTGGTGAGTAGAATATATTTTTCGGAAATGATTTTTAATGTTTGATTTATGAATGAAAAATATTTTTGAGGAATATTTTTTATTTTTACTAGAATACAAAATAATTTATGAAATTGAATATATTTTTTAAAAATAATTTTTTTTTGGGTGGTGGTGATAAGGGGTGGGGGTAGTGGTGGTGGTGGTGGTGGGGGCGCAGAGGGAGGAGGTAGGAATGAAAAAATAAAAATTTGAAGTTGATAGTATTTTTAAAAAATAAAATTAATTTTTTGGGGTTGGTAGGGGTGGGTAGGGGGCTGGCGAGGGGGGAGGTAGGAGCTTAAAAATAAAAATTCGGAGTTGAAAATATTTTTAAAAAGTAAAATTAGTTTTTTGGGGAGGGGGTGGTGTTGGGGCCGGGGGGGGTAGAGGGGGAGGGTGGTCAGAGATCGGTGAAAAAATAAAATTTTGAAATTGAAAATATTTTTTTAAAATTTATGTTTTTCCAAAAAAAAAAATATATAATTTAAAATTGGAGGAGAGCTTTGGAAAATGTTTTCCTTAATTTTTGAAGGGAAGTCATTTTCCTTAATTTTGAGGAAAATGAGTTGATTTGGAAAACATTTTCCAAAACTTTTGCCCAACCAAACATGAGAAAATTGAAAAACATTTTCCAGAAAATGTTTTCCTTCGTACCAAACACACTCCTAAACACAATCCAACTAAGTAGCTCAAATCCATTTTTCAAAGACCCGCACTCATCAATAATATTAATCATAATAACTAATTTCAAAGATAATTAAATTTTTTAATTCATTTCTGGTACAAAATTTAATATATGACTCTTAAAGTGATTAAAAAATTTATGTTAAAACCAAATAAATATTTGGAAGTAAAGCTTTAATAATTTTTTTTTTTTTAAAAATGCAGCTATATTAAGAAAATAATTCCTGCCAAATGAAGGATAAAAATAAAAAAAATATTCTAAAAGTAATTTTGTAGATTGAATAATTAAATTAATTTGAAATATAAAAAATATTTTAATAATAAAATGATTTTTCTTAAAAATGTGTCAAATTAAAATTTAACAAATAAAACGGTATTGAGTTGATAAATATTTTAATTAGTTAAAGTTTTACTTAGCATCTATCCAAAAATTGTCAATTTCCCAAATTCACTGCCCAATACGGCGGCGTTACCACCGCTACCGCCCAATCTAGCGGCCGCATTACCGCCACGACACCACCACCACCTGTCGTATAAATTGGATTTCAAGGTAGCTGGAAAATCATGGCTGCACCCGTTATCTTTTTTTTTTCCGGTCAGAGGCATCTGCCGACTGCTAGATGCACTTCTTTTATTCTATGTCGAGTTTATTTCTCATGATTTTTAGCAAATATTGTTTTAGGTACCGACTGTGGGAAGCATACTTGCTTCTTCAAGTTGAAGTTACAATGATGATAGGAACTGTTTGTGCAAGGAGAAGTATATCCACATTTTCTTGTTTATGTCAAAGAATTAAGCAGACAGGTGAGTGTGATGCTTCTTCTTCTTCCTGTGAACTATATTATTTATTTTGTTCGTTGATTCAGGAAAGAGTTGTATATAGTTTTAGGATACATAAAAATAGATCAATGTTCTATTAGAATCCAATTTTGGTGTAGTTTTTGATTGCCCTGGAAAGTTTGAAGTTACTATGTGATGCACATACTGGGATTTCTCATGGCATGTATAACTTGTAGAAAAAAAACTCTTTTTCCCCAAATGCCCAAAGATAGTGAATGGTAATAGCCTTTTTGTTTGTTTGTTTATGTTGCAGAAAGTGATATTGTTAAAATGTTTGAAATCTCAAGGCCTAAGGCCGAAACAGAAGGCACTCAAGAGAAGAGACCACCCTTAAGAAGGGGTTCTGTAAGAATATTGGATGAGAGGTTTATCAGGATTCTGAAGATATTTAAGTGGGGTCCTGATGCTGAAAAGGCATTGGAAGTGCTAAAGTTGAAAGTAGACAATGAATTGGTTCGAGAGGTTATGAAAATAGACACGGAGGTCAGTGTGAAAATTCAATTTTTTAAGTGGGCTGGTAAAAGGAGGAACTTTGAACATGACTCTACTACTTACCTGACTTTGATTCGATGTCTTGAAGAAGCTGGGCTGACAGGTGAAATGTGGAAGACGGTGCTAGAAATGGCGCGGAGTACATGTGTTATTACTCCTGCTGATCTATCCGAGACTGTGAGAATTTTGGGCAGGGCAAAGATGGTAAACAAAGCACTATCAATATTTTACCATATTAAAGGTCGCAAGTGCAAGCCAACTGCAACCACTTACAATTCCATTATTATGATGCTGATGCAAGAGGGTCAACATGAAAAAGTGCATGAGCTTTACAGTGAAATGTGTAATGAGGGCAACTGTTTCCCTGATACAGTAACCTACAGTGCTCTTATATCATCCTATGCAAAGTTAGGTCGTGATGATTCTGCTATTAGGTTATTTGATGAAATGAAGGACAATGGTTTACATCCCACTGCAAAGATATATACAACCTTGTTAGCAGTTCACTTCAAAATGGGCAGGGTCGAAATGGCTTTAGCATTGGTCGATGAGATGAAGAAGAATGCTTGTGCCCCAACTGTGTATACTTACACTGAATTGATAAGAGGGCTTGGTAAAGCTGGTAGAATCGAGGAAGCGTATTCTATATTTCTGTCCATGATAAAAGATGGATGTAAGCCGGATGTTGTGTTGATAAACAATGTGATAAACCTTCTAGGAAGGGGAGGACGTATAGGTGATGCGTTTAAATTGTTTAATGAAATGGAATCATTAAACTGTAAACCGAATGTTGTGACATATAATACTGTTATAAAATCCCTGTTTGAGTCGAAAGCGCCAATATCCGAGGTTTCATCTTGGTTTGACAGAATGAAAGCAAATGGTGTTGCTCCAAGCTCTTTTACTTATTCAATACTTATTGATGGGTATTGCAAGAAAAATAGAGTTGAAAAAGCCTTAGCTTTGCTTGAGGAGATGGACGAGAAGTGCTTTCCTCCTTGTCCAGCTGCCTATTGCAGCTTGATCAATAGCCTTGGAAAAGCAAAACGCTATGAAGCTGCTAATGAGTTGTTTCAAGAACTAAAAGAGAGTTGTGGATCTAGCAGTTCTCGGGTATATGCTGTAATGATAAAGCACTTCGGGAAATGTGGCCGTTTGACTGAGGCTATCAATCTTTTCAATGAGATGCAAAAGCTGGGATGTTCTCCTGATGTATATGCACACAATGCACTCATGTCCGGACTGGTGAGGTCAGGTATGCTAGATGAGGCTTTTTCCATGTTTCGTAGTATGGAAGAAAATGGTTGTGCTCCCGACTTGAACTCATTTAACATAATACTAAATGGTTTGTCCAAGACTGGTGACCCGCAGCGAGCGATCGAGATGTTTACAAAAATGAAACATTCAACAATTAAGCCTGATGCTGTCTCTTACAACACCATTCTTGGTTGCCTAAGTCGTGCTGGCATGTTCGAGGAAGCTGCAAGACTGATGAAAGAGATGCGTACCAATGCTTTTGAATATGATCTTATAACATACTCCTCAATACTTGAAGCAGTCGGTCATGTTGATGAGGATGGTACATGTCAAACTTCATGAGGGAGCTTTGGTATGGGAGATTCTTCTAGTTAGTGCTTTTCTTTATTTACACTATTTAGGACATGGGAACCGTTTAAATCATCTTGGCCTGGCAAAGTGCGCAGCTCTATGTAGGGTTTTATGATGCTCTAGTAAAATTGAGTGGCAAATAATTGCAGCATTTTGGTTATTCTCCCTGCTGGTGTTGGCTTCTGCAGATATGTGATTGAATTTTCACTTTGGGGTAAGGGTTTAAAGTGGTATCTTCAGCACATATATTAGCATGCAGACGGAATCTTCCTCCTGTTCACTGAGTGGAATTGGTAGCACCCTGTAACAAAAGACGAAGGATGGTTAGCTTTTGGCAGTTGGACCTGATTAGTTTCCTTTTGCTTCATGATTCTCTCTGTCATAAATATATCTAATTCCATCTGTGGGTATGTGAGTTACAAAATTTCCATTAGTGAGTGTTTCTTCTGCCATTGGTAGTTCCTTTGTTTGAAGAAGTGAGAACTTGCTTTGGGACACTGTGGTTCTGGCCTTATATAAAAAAATTCCTTTGGGAAGGAGGAACGGGGAGAAGGTAAGTTTCACTTGTCCTGTGCATCGGATATTTTTCACCAGAATTCCACTTCTTTGTGCTCCTGGATATTTAACATCTGCTTTTTATCTCCTTAGAGTATGGCAAAAACTATTTTATATGGGCTTGGTGTTCCTTAAAGATCCAATGAAGTTCATTTTTTTCCTTATTGAACCCTGTGGCTACATGGAGGCTGGAGCTAGCAATCCTTGGCCTTCTGTCGGTTAAGTGGATCATTGTGAATCTTTTATGACCCTTCTTGCTGCAGTTTCTGAAGCTAGCGTGCTTCTGTGATCAATTTACTCATAATTATGTTTAGAAATTTCACGTCAAGGATTATCTACCCTCCCTTTCTCCTCTCTCAAAATGACCAGGGTGTACCTATTGCTTCCTACAAGTGAAATTCTCCAGTGACCTTTTGGTGCACTCCAATTTCGGGTCTAGAATGAGACGGGGTAGGAGGCATCAGGATCACTCATCCAGCTCATTTTCTCTTCAGTTGCCAAAAGGTATGGTTGTGATGATTTTACCAATAAAAGTAGTATATCATGAATTCATAATGGTTCATCCAAGAAACCTTTTTGTCCCAATATAACAGATTAAAATTATGGTGGGGAGGTGTGATAAATAATCCAAGGAAATGAGCTTTTTGAAATAGAATTTCTCGAAGATCAATATGTAAACTTAGTCATAAGAAAAGATCAATATGTACACTTTAAATGTGAAATTATAAAAGTAACACTTCAATGTTTTTACCTAAAGCTTTATTTGCTTTGAATAAATCATTTTTGTTGTATATTTAAGACATCTTAGGTTCTGGTGTGTAAACCTTATTTTTAAAATTAATTTAGATTATTTATACCCTCTTTATGCAGTTCCTCAGAACAAATATAATACAAATTGCATTGCATAACTATATCATTTTGGTAAGTCAAGTAAACTCTATTATTTATGTGCATTTTGGTGAAGTTTTATTTATTTATCCGCGAGATAAATGTCTTTACCTAAAAGGCATTGCTTGTCTCAGTCATTCTCTTTGTGTTACATAGCTGTTTGTGTTACATCTGGGTTAAATTTCAGGACCATTTGTACACAACCCTCTTAAAGTTTGAAATGACAAACACCTACTTGATACGAAAAACTGACAGACATCTTTGCTCTAATATAATGTCTTAATTGATTTTTTTGGAAAGTTAATTATTTTAATTGAATTTATACAATAAACTAAGCTCCAGTTGGACATGGTTTAGGGTTGATTATGCCATAAAAATTTGTCGAGATATTGGTAACCACCTCAGAGATGTATGACTTGGTAGACTTCCCTGTTCTTCTTCTTTCTTCAGCTGGTAAATGATTCCAAGAGAACAAAGAAAATCAAAATTATATCATTTGGAGAGAGTACATGATAGGGCTAATTACCTTTAGCAGCATAAGTTGATAAAAAACAAAAACCTACTCTGCTTGTAGCTTTTTTGCCAGAAGTGCAGGTCTCTCAAAGGAAGAAACAGTTGTGAATTCGAAAATTCAAAAGGGGGTTCATAAATGATGGGAGATCATGAAGAGTTACCACTTGGTGTTGGTAATGGTAGTGGCTGTTACTGAATTGGGAACATACATAGAACGAAGGGGAGACTGTGGAGGAACAAATATGATGGGAAAAAGGGATTAAAAGAGAAAAAATGAAACAAGAGGAACAGATGAAAGTGAGAACAGAAAGAAGGGAGAGGAAACAAAATGGAGGACTAAAGAAATGAAGAGCAAGTTTAAATCCAGGTGGGGGATGTAGCTGGGTGGTATCTTTTTATCCATGCCTTGGTTGGCTTAGATTCTTCACCGTTGATGCTTAGGTACTATTGTACGTTTCTTTAGCTTGAAGATGCTTATCAACTGATCCAGTTCCCTTCTGTCATTGAGCAATGAATAGAATCAGAATCTATTTCTTTCAAAAGATACTTAAGATAAATGATGGGTAAACTAGTAAAAGGTTTCTCAATGACAACATTATTTTGTTGCACTTCCACCGTTAAGTCATGGAGGTGTCCGTCTTTCTTAACCAGAAGGAAGGTCTATTTTATTTCGCCAAAACTAGAGTGCAGGTCCTTATATTTTCCTAGTTCATACTTCTGATACTGAATGCCAGACTTTTTTCTGTGGTTCTCTAATCTATGCTGGTGGGATGTCACCCTTGTGTGCAATTTGTATCAAACTGGAATGGAAATGCCATTGATTTTGTTGTCAGATCAAGAAAATAATATGTATTTCTTTTGAAGGACACTGGTGGTGGCTGCCATAATTGTTGTATCTGGTGTAGAATTTTCCTCATCATCCAAGCTGCAAAACTACGTGCATCATACAGTGCATAATAGTCCCTTGAAGCCAGCAACACTGCATCACCATACTGAAACTTATGTATATTTAGGCACAGCCACCAGTTTGAAACCAAAGTTATTCTTGTTTTACACAACTATTGCACAAGGATGAAAACGCTGACCTTATCCGTCTTGAGGTTCAACTATTGATACAGATGTTATCGATTGGGTGCATGCCAGGTCTTATTGTCTTAAACATATAACAAGCTGACCAATTGCCATAAATCTCTTGGAAAGAGAGCTATCATATCTTGTGTGGGTATCACCAAGGAATGCTGAAATGTAACATCTTTTTTGATAAGTTGCTCAAATGTACTAATGTTACAGGAACTCTTTTAAGTTATGTTCACCATGGGAAGTCTGCCCTTTTGAGAATATTGAAGGCAATATTTCGATATTGGGAATACATGTAACAATTGTATATAAAAACACCCACTTCGAATGTTACTTTAAATATTTCGAATATCTTGTTGATAGGTGTGTGGTTACAGTTAGAAGTGTCTCCAATTGCAGCTTCTGTTATAACCACCAGAAGCCTTTAGATGGAAAATGGCAGCACATAGTAGTGTTAGTATATTGTAGTATGAAGGATGATCTAAAACAATTTTAGAATAACATTGACGATACATGTCAAATGAGCAGACATTGCTTTTTTTGCTCAAAAAGTGAAGTTACTTGTGGTAGAGTTTGTACATCAAATGAGCCTAATATCTGAAGAAACATCACAAATGGCTTCTCTATTTTTACTCAGGTTTTCCTGTGAATATTCACCATGGCTTTAGCTCATACAATACACAAACACAAAATTACTCTGAATATCAACACCAGAACCTATCAACTCTAAATCATGGATTCACCACTGCCCACAGAAGCCGCACCTACTCGCTTTGCTGGACCCTCATATCAGAACTTTAATTCCCATATCTTGAGAAAACTCTGATGGGTCCCTGTGATTGAACTCAAGTAAGTTCTAAACCATAAAACTATAGAGTATTGGACAAGAGTGGATTAGGTTAACAGACCTCCATAATGTTATTATTGACTGTTGAAACAACATCCAGATACATTCTTACATCACATTAAGTTGCCTTGCATATAGCCATCAATGGTGAGAAACTAAAATGCAAGATATAATACAACAGTGGAAAATAGCCAACATACAACGAATAGAGAGATAATCTGGCTTGTCATCCACTAACATTTTCAGCAGACATGTCGTTCTCTTCATCACTTCCTTGACGTATTCTTGCAATTTCTGCCTGAGCTCTCTCCATAATTTGCCTCTTTTGGAGTTCCAATTCTCGGTGGAAGTCCATCCTCATTTTCTCCAGTTCCATCATTTGCTGTCTCTTGCTATTCTCAATCTTCACATATATCTCACTAAATTTATGGATAGAATCTGCTATTAATTTGAAAGAATGTCCATTCCCATTCCCGTTCCCTCCTGGTTGTACATTTCTTGATCTTTTTGGTGGAAGATCCTCTGAACCATCCTCCTCACCATCAGCAGATTCTGAGTTAGCAGGACTGTCCCTCATCTCATCCAAGCCATTAGCACGATTCAGATAAGCTTTTGGGCTCATGAAAACATACTCTCCAGAGTCCATTCCACATGAAACACCAGCTTTCTGGGGAGTTGATGTTAGTAACATGTCCATCTTTTTGAAGTACACCCACTTGCTAGTGCTACTTCCAGTCTCTGCAAACTTCATCTTCTCCTTTTTGTATTTCTTTTTCAAAGTATCCAAACGGTTACGACATTGGGTGTCTGTCCTCTCAATTTTGGACCCCCGTGACACTCTGTCTGCAACTTCTTGCCATTCCTCTGATCGAAGACTCTTCCTCCCATGTCGAACAAACCTAGTGCCCCATGCATCAAGCAAAATAAATGTCTCATTTTCAGACCAATCTGAAAGTGGATTCCTACCACCAAATGAAGGCTTAGGAGCAGTTGCAGCTGTAGTAGATGGTGGTGGTACTCGAGGTGCAAACTCATAACTTGATAACAAGCTCTTTAACTTCCTCTTCTTTTGATGCCTCTGCAAATCACCATACTCATCATCATCATCGTCATCGTCATCAAACACATCTTTCCCTATCCGCTGAACACCATTTTCTTCGCCATCATCATCTTCTTCTTCTTCTTCGCCATCAACTTCTTCATCATCATCCGCCTCCTCCACATACTGATTGTCGACATGCCTTGAATAAGAAGGGTCGTGAACAGGAAGCTTCTGGCGATTGGATGACTCATAACCCTGGTTCATGCCATAAGGGTTGGAAGGATATCTCCCATTATCCTCAATGTCATCCATTGAAGCACAAGAAACCAACCAAGTATCAACTACTACGACACACAAATACCTAGAGGGAGTCTAAGTTAAACTTCCAAGCACAATGTTTTCTTGATCAATTTCAATCCATTTTAACTCCAAATTAACACTTTATTCCTAGCAACTAGATGAACAAGTTTCTCCATCATATTTATACCATCACAAAAACCTAATTAAAAAAAAACAATCTCAGATACAAGCAAAATCCCTTTTATCTAATTCAAGAAAATATGCCTACAACAACCCAAAATCCAAATAGAAACTTCTCACATACAATTGAAAACCTTGTTATATTCAAGAAAATATGCCAACATAGACCCAAAATCCAAACAAAAACTTCTCAGACACAATTGAAACCCTCTATCAAATTCAAGAAATTATGCCTACAGAAACCCAAAATCCATACAAAAACTTCTCAGACACAAGTCAAAGGAAAACCCTATAATCCTTTACCTCATAAGGGGGAAATTTGTACTCAAACACCTCTTAAAACTGGAAACTTAATCAAACCCCTAAACAACCCAAAAAAACAAAGAACTTTTCATTTTCCAATCAGAAGAGATACCTGCTGTTTAACTCCCTTATTTCAAGAAATGATTATTTTTTTTGGTTTGAGCAAATCAAACACCTTCACAACCAAAACCCATCTAAAAATCAACAACATCCAACAGATTAAGTTCCAATAAATAAATAAAAAGAACACCCTTTAACTCCCTTACCTCAAAAAATGGAATCTTGTTCTTGAAATTGCCTTAAAGTTTGAAACTTTGAGGGAAAATCAAACAGGTTGCAAGAACAAATTGAAGAAAACTTTTAAGGATCTGATACTGTGAAAGAATTACATGAAAATAAAAAAAATTGAAAATTTAGTAGGGTTCATCTTCTGGGGTAGCAAAGATGTGAGAGAGAGGGGGACGCAAAAATCAGATGAGAGTGCAACCACCAAAGTTGTTCAAGTGCGCCGATTGTGATTTTTCCTTCCGGCTGCTTTTGGGGTCCATCAACAGCACGGGTGTAAGGACATGTGTCCTCACATTATTAGGGCCAACTATTTATTTTATTTCTTCAAAAATTAAAGGGAAATAACTAAATGTTATAAAATCTAAGCTCACAATAATAAAAGGAAGATAAGAGAAGTAGATGTAGGAGAAAACTTTTTTCTTATTCAAGTATATTATTAAATGGTGAGTGATATCTTTATTAAATGGTGAGTGATATCTCTATTTATAGTGTTGAGATATCACCCTCAAAGGTCACTACATTAATAGATACGTAGTTATGTCTTAAGGTTCTTATTACCTTGGAAACACTTATACATGAATTCAGTTAATTGTTGGATAACTCTAACAGATCATCCACAGATTTATAACACTCTCACTTGAATGTCCTTTGATAATGTGTCTCGTTAGAACCTAACTAGAAAAAATTATGGTGAAGGAAAAAGAGTAAACATATCTTTTGATACACATTATTTGTTACCTCATTAAAAACCTTGCCAGGAAAATCTAGTGGAACAAAACTTTGGTCAAGAAAAAAAGAGTGCAACACATATTATACTCCCCTGATTAAAACATCGCTCACTTTTTTGCGATGATGTCTCCAATCTTCGTACATTGTTCTTTTTCAAAGAAAAATCACACATTTTCTGAATATGGTGTGTCATTTATCTCAACCAAAGGCACTCTCGGCTTGCTTCATGGAGGGCTTTTATTTCTGCATAGCAACATTTGCTTCATTGATCGCCAGGATATTATTGTGCCTCCATATGCAAACAAATAGCATGTTTGAGATCATGCTTTATGCGGATCAGATAAAATATTTTGCATATGCGTAACCAATCAACTCTGACTTGTATTCTTCGGATAGAATGAACTCATGTCTATGGTCCTTCAAAGATATTCAAGTATATACATAACACCATTCAAATGTCCTTTTGTTGGGGGAGAAATCAAATCTTGCCAGTAAGTTTACTGCAAAACAGATATTTGGTCGAGTATTGTTAGCAAGATGCATTAGTACCCTGATTGCACTAAGATATGGAGTTTCATCACCAAAAAGCTCTTCATCCTTCTCTTGAGATAAAAAAGAATTATCATTTATTTCAAGCAATCTCATAATCATTGGGGTACTCAATGAATGTAATTTATCCATATAAAACTGTATCAAAATTTTGTTGTGTATGTTGATTGATGGACAAATATTTCATTCGAAAAATTTTCAATCTTAGGTCAAGACAAAATTTTGTCTTCCCAAAATCTTTTCATTTTAGATTCCCTTCTCAAATATTCAATAGCTTTTAAAAGCTCCTTAAAAGTGTTAGTAATTTCAAGTCATCTACATACACAATTTATAACAAATTCAGATCCTAACCTTTCATAAAAATTCAAGGATAATTAGGTTATTCTTTTTGTATCCTTTTCTTCCTTGATTATTTCAATCCATATAAGGATTTTTTAAGCTTTATAGAAAAAGTTCTCTTCAAACTTTTATATGCTCAAACACCCCGATTACTTCAAGGATTTTTGTATAACCTTCATTATTGTCTAGCTAGACATAATAATTATTCATTATATGCATTCAAGTGTTTCATATGTTGTCAGATCAAAATAAACCTCATTGCATCCACCATAGGAGAAAACATCTCCAATAATATCAGGAATTTTGCGACAAACCTTTATGCCCCAAGGCACAAGTTGTACTTGATATATTACGATTATACCATCGTATAATAATTTATTGTACCCACTGACATTATACCTTGATTTATGGACTATCAGTCCAAAACGTCACTTTTCTAACTGAAACAATATACTTGAATGATGCATTTTAATTGGTCAACCATTTATCTGTCCATACTATATGAAAAATTTGAATTCAAGATTATATCATTGAGCGCGACTTCATATCGAAGATATCGTCGACGGTTATTTTATATCGATTCCAATATGACATAATTTATCTAGATCTCTTCATTTTTCATCATTTTACAGATACCTAAAGCTTTTTCAAGGTTTTATGAAGTGTTATGTTGTGTTGCTCTCTTATAGCATTTGCCTCATTATCATAACCATGTTGATCATTTGATCTCTCCTTCTTCCAGAAAATTTATACTTTGAATCAATTGGTCTATTATGCTTCCGGCGTATCATAGACTCCGTCCTTCAAGAACTTCACATTGGAGCATTTGCAGCTGAATTATATCATAAGGTCAGTACATTCATCAGGTAGTTGATTTGCAACATTATGCAAATGAAGTATCACTTGAACTTTAAGTTCACATATTTATTTAACAAGGACCCAGATAATTCATAATTAACCTCATAAATAATTTTAGTTGTCAATCATCTCTCCCCCTAATGTTAGGAAATCTAACATTTATCCCAACCTTATTTGGGAATTCATCCTTGTGCGTAGTGCAACAATTAAAATCATAACTGCACATGCAATATTTTAGATAAAAATTATTTGGTTCTTGACCCTGAATCAATTTTAATGGGGAAACCTTGTTGGCTTGATGCATACATATGTTACTACATGTTAAATAAAACTATCTCATACCAAATCTTATTTGGAAGTTTTGTTCTCATAACCATGATTTAACTATAATTGGAGACATGAAATTTTTGCTAAATTAATCAGCATTATCAATATAATTTCATAGTTTAGAACTCTGCTCTTAATTTAATAATTCGAGCAAACAACCTTGCAAACATCAATTTTGTAAGTTGACAACAAAGCACATATGATCATCACATAGATACGTCTATCATAGTTGCAAATGATTCACATAGCAGATGAATGGACCAATATTTATCTTTTTATATGTTTCAAAAACTTCAGGGGATTACAATCCCAACCTTAGCTGGTACAATGATCATTTTATCAAAGATCAAGAGAACAAGCAACACAAAGAGTTTTTGAAGAATCTTTTATTTCTTAATCATATAAGCCCCATAATTCTCAATTATATTTGCATCACATTCAAACCATGATGGCCAACTGGTCATACCAACTGATATTTATTTCAGTACACATATAATTTACTTTTGCATGTGATTTCATTAGCATGTTCATGTTTGTCTGCAATAAACAAGAGAAAAAGTGGGGTAATCTTTTACATAAATATTTATAACCCTCTTCGGTTGTAGTAATATGAATATAATAAATATTTTCATATTTTATAGTCTCAATATTTCTTTTCAATTCATTCGAAACTTAAAAAGTTTCTTTTGAGACTTATTACAACCGTACTCAATATTATTGCTCTGGCAATATCACAGCTCGTTAAAGCATGTAATTAATTTCTGTATACTATCATATATTTCATGACATCATCCACATGATGAATATCTCCTTCAAGGAGAAAATTATATTGTTATTGTCATGGTCAAAATTATTACAAGTAAGACATGTTTCTTGCTTTACTTTTGTTTTACCATAGGTACACAACCAATGACAAATTTGTATCGTCACATAGAATATTTGGTCATGGCCACAACCTTTATAGGCAAGAATACTTCTTTCTTTTTGTTCTTTCATTGGTTCATAACAAACATATTATAATATTCTAACGTATAAATGCACACGACTATTGATTGTTCATGTCAAATAAAATTTATTTATTTCTCTCAAACCTCCCGTAGAGGTGAGTTTGACATATATCCAACCATACATGAATATATTTTTATTAATATTTTTCCTTCATATTTTTCCATATGCACTTTCAAGAAAAGGCAAACATTCACATGCTTATTACAAGTCGCAATCTCTTCATGAGTTGTTGATAACTATTTATACATGTTAGACCTTTGTATTTGACATATTTACATGATCCACCTCAACATCATTTTGAAAAATAAAGTGAACCGCCATTTTATATTCTTTTATTTTGATGGAGGATTTATAAAACTTGTCAAATTATTGGATTGACAACATTCACAAATCCAATGAGCTTTCATACCATTTTGATAATAAAAATTGCCTTCACATTCTGAAAGACTATTTTAAGAACCCATAGTGTTTTTCCTTTTATAATTACCACAACGATGACTATTATAATTCCGTCATTTCACATCCTTTTTCAAATCGTTAATCATTTGTCATCTTTCAGACTAATTATTTACAGCTACCACATCATACGATAGAATGGAGCAATTCAATTGGCGGATTTCAAAGTTATCATACATTACTACCACATTCTTTTCAAGGAATGGAGCATGAACTCAATCATGATGCATCAAAACTCAAATTGATGTCTTACCCTTTTAGTGCGATAGAACATAAATCTACCGTCTTACCCTCACATTTTTCATTATGGTACATCCGGACTTTAACCTGATGTCTTACCCTTTTGGTACAATGAGATTTGAATCCACCGTCTTACCCTTAACCAACGGTATAATAAACCGAAGTACAACATGACTCACCCTTTTAGTCTTTTAAAACAATCAAAATAATATTTAAACCATGCTATTAAAATTTTATACCTTCTTCCATTTAAGAGATTTTGTATAGCACGTCATATTCAACCAATGGTAGTATATGCTTTTCATTCCTGATAATTATTAGTGACTGAATACTATTGTACTCTAAATCATAAAAATATTTTAGAAAATATATACCTGATTTTATGCATATAATACCTAGGTTCTCATAACGGATCAACCAAAATATGAGTTATAAAAAAACTAAAACTAAAACTCAATCTCAATTGGTTAGAATCTCGTGTTGATAACGTGTTATAAAATCTAAGCTCAGAATAATATAAGTATAAAGAAGAGGATAAGAGAAGTAGATTTAGGAGAAAATTTTCTTTTTATTCAAGTGTATTGTTAAATGGTGAGTGATATCTCTATTTATAGTGTTGAGATATCACTCCCAAAGGTCACCACATTAATAGATACATAGTTATCTCTTAAGGTTCTTATCATCGTAGAAACACTTATACATGAATCCAATTAATTGTTGGATAACTCTAATGGATCTCCACATAAAACAATGGATTTATAACACTAAATGATTTATAACCTATTATCGAATTTTCAACTATATATTTACTTATTACCTCTTTATACTATTTTACAGAGAAATTATTTGCTTCATAACCGTTCATCTGTTAGAATGTATAAAAATGTAACGATCGAGTTTCGTCGTTACAGAAATGTCCATGGATAAAAATTAGGGTCGGAAATTTTTTTCGTAGTGTTACGATTTTTCCAATCTTATCTAGATTTGGAGGAAATTGGAATCGTCAAGGTGTAGGAGAATCTAATAGAAATCGGGGTGGAGTAAATAGGAATTTTATTACATAATCGGTTAGATAACTCGTTAGGAAATCCGTATGACATTACAAAATTGAATTTGGATAATAGACCTCCGGGATTCGCCCGTAGCGTTAAGGGTACTTTCTAGTGTAGTGGATTAAGAGTATGTTATGAAAGATGGAAACTGAAAATCCCTTAAAGGCTAACTACCTCGCTTCGTGCTGCTGCAGCAGGATTCTTATCGCTGCAGCAACGTCACTACAGCGGGATAGGTACCACTGTAGTAGAAGAGGCGAAAATTGATTATAGAATTTTTGAGATTTTTCATGACGGAGCTCACTGGTTCAAAAATTGTCACTACAGTGGGATTGGTGTCGCTACAGCGATGCCGCTACAACGGGATGTGTGTCGCTGTAGCGGGATGGCGGATTTTAAAATCATAAATAAGACCGTTACACGACTTTATTTTGTATTTTTTGACTTTTTGGGTTAAGAGACGACCCATGGGCTATTCTAACTCGTTTTCCACCATTCTTGAAGCTAGAGGTAAGCTTTTCACTCTCCAAATTTATTTTTGGGTCCGTAGAGCGTTTTAGAATGGGTAAATATTGATGGAGAACAATTTCTTGAAGAATCCTATAGTGGAATTAACCCCAAAATTGATTAGTTGGGGTCATAGGTTTGAATTGGGGTTCATAGTTTGTTAGTATTCCGGAAATTTAGTGCTTCTTTATTGACTTCCGTATATAAATTGTTATTTGTAGACCACGAACAAGCGGAACAAATCCGAAAAGGGAAGGATCAAGTTGTCTAGGGTTTCAAGCTTATTTCGAGGTAGTTGATGGTTGTGATTCTATGATTGTGTGATATACACTTGTTTTGCTCGTTGTGATACTTATGTATGTATGGATGTTGCAATATCGATCATAGATGTTGAAATGAGATATATGAATATTGATACCATGAAATCGTGACTTGAATGGGTGATCTTGATGTGTTATTGAGATATGTGATTTGGATCGGCTGTCACGTTCTGGCACACTAACTTGAATCGAATTGCTACATTCCGACATGCTAACTGGGATCGGATTGCCATGTTCCGACATGCTAACAGGGATCGCTTGCCACGTTCTGGCATCAAAATTAGATCGGATCACCACGTTTTGGCATGCTAACAGTTTTGACTTTGGGTTTTGTTAGAGGACCAACTATGTGATGAAGCATGTGAATTGTGATGTTTAATCTTATGATAGTATTGAATATGTTGATATTTATGCATCTGTTATAATGTTCTAATTGCTTGTTTATGTTACACTAGTGGGATAGTCGAGTGATTCTACCAATACACTGTGATTGTGTACTGATTCTACACTTGCTCTTATTTTTGTTAAGTACAGGACATCTTCACGTGGCTATTGACAAACTTTGCTTAGGTGATCAGCGATTGCTTTGAGTTCAAGGGTGAGCTCATCGTTCGAGCTGCCATAGAATTCTCTTTAGTCTATGTCCACTATTTTCGGACGTAAACCTTATTTTAGTCAGTTAGATAGTTCACTAGAAATTCTTGTAAGATTTGGTTCTTGCTTCTAGTTTTGGTACATTGACTTTCAGATACTAGGTTTATCTTCCGCATTGTTAGTTAATTATTAGATCTTTAATTGATGGAACTTAGCTTAATTATTTAACTTGCTTTCATAACTTAAATGCGTTAGTTTTTTGATTTATTGTTTTGATTGGTTGCTAGTAGTGGTTCTCTCACCGAGTTGTAGTGTGGGTGCCAATCACGACGATTTGGATCGTGATAAATAATTAGGTGCAATAATCTGATGGACCCTTATACTTGTATGAGTTTGTATTTTAAAATCTCTTACTTCATACTTTATCAAATTAACCCTTAAACTTATTAAAACACAATAGTTGAAAACAACCCAACCATTTATCAAACCTATGTGGCATAAATAGTGTTGAGTTTTAAGAATGTGTAAATACACTCGCTTCCAAATGTGTCATTATACTATTTTCAATTTAAAAACTTTTTTCGAAGAAAAATAATTTTTTTAATTAAAAAAAATCTTCTTTAACCCTCTCCCACCCAGCCCCCGCCCCAATTTCTATTCTTTTCCACTACTCTTTCCACTATAACCCTAAATTTTCTTCTCTTCTTATTCAACAAAATCACCCACCACATTCATTCTCTTTTTCTTCTTCTAAATCAACAGTCATATACTTTTGTTTTTTTTCTTCTTCTTCAATACAATCTCCTCTTTGCAACAACTTATCTAAATTTTTAAAGTTTTTAATTTTAAAAGTTCATACCATTATTTGTGTTGAATTTAATGAGAAGGCATTATATGGATAAACGTATACGGTTGATAGAGGTATTGAAAAAATTGAAAACTCCACTGATAAGTTTGAGAAAACTTGAACAACAAATGGGTCTTATGAATTTATAAAATTAATTCAAATTTGTGATTGTGACTAGTAGATTTTGTGTTTATGAATCTCTTGTTGAAATTTCAAGCCAAATAAAGAAATTTCATCTATTTGATATGAATTTGGTGCTCAAACTGTGAGCATATATGGAGGTTGAAGAACATGGCTATTCAAAAAATTTCATAAGTTAAATATTTTTTTCTTAATATTTAATTTCTAACATGTCATTGGAAAATAACATAGAATTATACATGTAAGAGGTTGGAATACACACACAATGATCTGATGAGAAAAGAGTTCAAAACATTATGTTTTGATGAGTTTAAGGGTTTAGTTGACAAAGTATTAAAGTAGGAGGGTTCAAAATAGAAATATATACAATTATAAGAGCCGATTAGACTATTTTACCTAAGAATAATGCTAAATAGATTGTACTAGTAATTCTTGCATTAGTAATGTATGTATTAGTTATGGTTGTGTTAATTTTACATAAATTATTTTTATGCATTGTTTGATTTGATGTGTTAAAAATAAGATATAATGTATAAAAATATTATTTACAAAGATACCTGCCACAATTATGGTGGAAAAGATGAAAAAAAAAAGGTTTTCAAGGGTAATCGAGTCTTTAATTGAGTTGATGCATGTGTTAAAATCATTGCATGCTCATACCTAGAAATTCATGATATTAAAATGCACACCCTTAATACACAATAGAGTGTACAACCAATGAAATCATTAGTTATATATATATTAGAAAAGAGTACCGAACAAGGTACTGATAGTAACAAAGTTAATGCATGTATTATTTTTTCTAATACACTCAACCAAGCGATCCTTACTGAGGTGACAAAGAATGTATAGTTTATTTTCTTTGAGGGAGTGAAAGGCAAAAAAACTTCTTTTACTTTAGATTAGCTTCTTGTTTTCTTTTTGTTTTTTCAAAAAAATTATATTTCATTTTTTTGTACTTTTTACACTTCTATGACGACAGAATAAAGAAAACAAATTAATTTGTTTTGATGCATAAAAAGAGTAATATTATGTGCTAGGCGTGTGTAAATCACTCCATGATACAAATCTAATTAAGGATTTTTAAGGGGCTATATATATCACTTTTAAAATGATCAGGGGGCTAATGAGATTCTCGTGAAGTACAAGTGTGTAGTTGAGAATTCGATAATAGACTGGGGACTTTTGAGTACTAATAGTGAACAAGAAATGAAAATAAAAGATATGAGATAGAATGTAACTTTTATTAATTTTTTATATTTTTAGCTGTATCTTTCACATAATAATGATCACCTATTTAAAGTTTACAAGACAGTTTTAAATGTTAGAATTGAACACTTTATTTAATTGGTACATGAATTATCAAGAAATGGTATATGTATAGTTGATAGAAGTTATGAGTGAGCATTCATATTCACGTTCAAAGGATTTGTAACACTTCTTGTTGTATGTCTACAAATGATGAAAAGAAGTCAAGTGAAGAAATTAAAGTCCATCCGTCGTGTAATATTGCTTCATTAAAAATCTTGTAAGAAAAATTTAATGGGATAAAATCTTGATTAAGGGAAAATGAGTATAACACATATTTTACTTCGCCTGATGAAATTTTTATTTAATATCTCAGAGAAGACTCATTCCAATCTTATGTCTTAATTTCTCAATTGTTGATGTTGATAATATTTTAGTGAATAAATTTGTATGATTATAATCAAACGAATTTTTGAACATTTGTCTAATCATTTTATTGAAGATCATATACGAAAAATATAGGTGAGATATGCTATGATTAGTCTCTTTTGATATATCCTCCATTCAATTGGCAAACAATGTTATCTTCATATAATATTATTGAAATCTTTGTTTTCAAAGAAAGACTACATAATTACAAAACACATTGAGTCATTGACCTCAATCTACGCACTCTCAATTGACTTCATGAATGAATTAATTTTATATTATTTGATGAACTGAAAATTATTACTTTTTAATCAAATGTCATGATATAATTGTACCTGAATAAATAGCATATAGATATCAAGTTTTATATCACTACAACATTTTATGTCTCCAACCACCCTAGAAAAGTGTGGCCTAAACTATGAAAAAGTGTGGCCTTTGGTAAAAAGCCACACTTTTTGACTTTAAGCCACACTTTTCCAGGTGTGGCCGAAAGCAGCGAAACCTTAGAGTTTAGGCGACGCTTTATAAGCGTAGCCTTATCAACTACGCTTAAAAGCGTAGCCAAAAGGAAAAAAGGCCATGCTTTTTACCTACGCTTAGAAGTATTGCCATATGAGCAATACTTTTAAGCGTAGCCTCAAAGTCAAAAAGGCCACACTTTGTAGCTACGCTTAGAAGTGTTGCCTTATCAGCTACACTTACAAGCGTAGCCTAAAAGAGAAAAAGTCACGCTTTTGCCTTATCAGGAAGACGAATTTTACCATTCATATTTGCAAGAAAAAAGAAGGGGAACATGGATACTTGTTCTGGAATTAGGGATGTACATAGCAAGTCACACCCCAATCCAAAGAACAAAAGATGACGAGAAGTTGATCATCCACATTTTGAATTCATAAAATGCACGATAGCAAAATCAAATTCAGTTAGTGCCAACAGTTGAAAGTGTCCATTTTATCATAAGGGACATAATGGATGAACCATGGATGAAAAACTTCAACGGATGGTAGAAGTACAGTGAATCCAATGATAACATTTTCTGTAGATCATAGAAAGAGAAACATACCAAAATGGATTGTAATATATTGTTATAGGGGTGTCAATTAAACTCAGTGGCATACACAGAGGAGAAATAAAGTGATTTATTTTGCTTAGGAAGGAGCCATCGGAATTTCTTTTCTCCCTCTGCACCATCCAATAAGCAGCACGGCGCTGGTAAGGTCTAAGCTTAGGAAGCAAACCAGGGAGGTCATCATCAAGCATCGGCTCCTCCCTGCAGACAACATCACAAATGAAAGCCAAGTATGAGGAAATTTGCATATATCCAACATAAATTGAAACTTAAGTCAGCAGAACCACTCACTTTGATGGCTTAATAGCTTCATAGAAACTAGCTACATCAAACCTAGAAAGTTTCCTTGCAGAAGAAGAACTTTCATCCAGCCCCGAAGCTAGACCAATATCTGCATGTGCTTCCACCTGGTATCCATATCTAGCCTCTGCTGTGACAACCTCTGGACGTAGCCAAGCCATCACATTCATCATGCTCTTTTTCCATAGCTGTCTGGATGTATCCAGAAGTGACTCACACCCATCAAAGGCACTTTTCAAAATCTCGACCTTCATCCGTATAGATGCTAAATAACTCGGAACAATAACAGTCCTCAATGTGAAGAACTTCAAACTAGCCAGATGGACTAACCCTGATATACCCTCATCAGGTCCATCAAAACTTCCCTCTATCAACACAACTGTTTCCTCCAAACCCTCTTTCTCCTGCTTTGCTACAATTTCAAGACATACACTAGTAGCAGATAATACAGGCCAATGACCCAACTTTATCCTAGTAAGATGCTCATTAACATTACTGACCCTAAACCTCAATAAATACCTAGAATCCCTGAAAAAATCCTCATCCAATACATAAGTACCAAACTCATCACTAACATTCAAGTTTGATAAAACAATTTCAGAAATATCCATATGTTTGTCCAATAACCAATTAGACCTATCAATTTCAACAAAAAATGGCACATCAACTACAAAAGACTCATCTTTTTCCGCAGTTCCAGCATCTGTTTCACCGTTTAATTTCCCCTTAGGAACTTCTCCTTCCAAAATTCCAACAGAATGATTTGGCTTAGATTTCTTCCGACCCATTGCAGTAACAAGTAAGATATACAAAGTGCAATACGGTTAACGGATAAAAACCAATCCTTTATTCTTATTCGAACAACCAAGAACCTGTAAATAATAAAGAGTCTCACATGAACTAACAAATATTTGGTACATAATTTGAACGGTTTCTCGGAAAACCAATAGAAGTGAAATAAGCTACAAAATTTCCGAGGTGAATTCTGTAGAGAATTGAAAAAAAAAGTACTCTACTAGTACAAGCGACAGAAGGCACTTTCATCCACACTTTAGTTCTTCAGCTAAGCTCTTTAGATTTTTCAGATTCCACACTTTAGTTCTTCGATCCACAGTTCTTAAGCTTCAACATTTCATCCCTTTGAGAAAATCATGTTCTAGAGAAGACAATCTGCAGCTCAGATGTTGATCAGTACTTCAGTTAACCTAAGTTCTTCAGCTCAACTACGTTCTTCAGTCAGCTACGTTCTTCAGCTTGTTCTCTTCGATCTTCACTTCACCTACGTTCTTCAGCTGCTCTTTAGAAATGGATGTTTTTAGAAACTTTTAGAAGCCCTGTTCCAGGAAAGAAGAGAGAGAGAGAGAGAAGTTTTTGGAAATGTTTTATTAATAATTTTTTTGGCCAATAAAATATGGGAGGGAGAGTTGAAAATGTTGGAGGGAATATAAAATTTTAGTGAAAAATTTAGGTCACACTTGTAATGTGTGGTTTTTATAATTGTAAAAAATAGCACACTTTAAAAGTGTGGTCATATATGTAAATAGATGTTGCCATTTATTTCATATTATGACAACGCTTACAAAGTGTAACCAATACCATTAAAGAGTACGCTTTACAAGTGTTGCTAATATTGTCGTTGCCAAACGTTAAAAATTTAGGCTACATTTTAAAAGTATTCCCAAAAATATTTTAGGCAACACTTTTTAAGTGTTGCTCAGATTTGGTGTGGCCGTAGGCATAAAATGGTGTAGTGTATGGATCAAATGATTATCTTAACAATGCATAATCGATCATTTCTAACTTAGATGTAATAAAAAAAATCTCTTATCAATCATTTTTCGAAGATATTTGAACGTATGTTTAACATATTTCTATGTCCTCCTATTGAAAATAAGCTAAATCTCATCAATAAATTTACTGTAAACAAATATCTGATCGACTACGATTGAAAGGATATGTTAATTTCTCGATAACATTGAAATATGGAAATTTATCACCAATTTTTTTATCATTTTCTTAAGATTGACTTGAATCTATATTTTATGTCAAACTATCTCACAATATTCGAAACATGATTTATTTATATAAAATTGCTTTAAAATTTTGTAGTACATGTTGATTGATGGATAAATATTTTATTTATCGAATGAATACCCTGTAGACTAAGAAAAAATTTTATCTACCAAAATCTTGTATTTAAAAAATAATAATCCAAACACTCAATAATCTTCTTGAAAGCTCTTAATTAAGAGTGTTAATAATGTTTATGCCATCAACATACTACATATATATATGTATCATATTTTTCTATCTCAATTTACGTGACACATTCTTATTTTTTGAGAGTCAAATAATTTAAGATTAATTAAGAATTTGCTCATGAAATCTTCAAAATTTAAGAAATGAATTATATATTTATAAAAGTAAGAGGAAAAAAGGTGACATAATATTAGTATGAAGAACTCAATTTTAATTCAAAAGTTGAAGTTAAAAAAACTTTTTAGCCAAAATAAAAACCCCATAGTACGAACTATCAATTACAATGAAGTGTTTTTTTAACTATGTCAAAGATAGGATGTAAAAACATGTCAATTAAAATGGTTACGCATGAGCATAAAATGAAATTTGAGATTAAAAACATGATTTTTAGTTCAGCCTAGACGCGCCTGACATTTGATTTTCGTGTTCGCAAGATCCAACCCACATGATTGTGATGGGTCTTATTCAGTAAACGACGATTGAGACCATTGACCAAACGATCATGAGACTGCAGATTATTGTTGACCGTGATAACTACGTATTGATCACACAATCGTGATGTCTAAGTTCATGTCAGTTCAATTTTTAGCATTTTGTCCTCTTTTTACCTCAATTTCACTTGATTTCTTTAAATATTTTAAATTCATTCTTCGCTTCAGATCCTGCATATATGAAGCAAATCACATAAAAAGCATCAATTCACATCTAAACAAGCCAAAAACATAAGTTTAAAGACAAGATACATAAAAATACCACTTTTCAAACCCTCAAGCTTAAGTTATTGCTTGTCCTCAAGCAAGATAGAATCAAAGCATCAAGAACATATTTAAGTCAAACACACCAATGATTCCTTAAGCGCTAGAACTTGTCTTCGGTTGGTACTAACAAATAGTCATCGCATGCAAAATCTTTACAAAAGAATTCCCCTCATTTCTCATATCTTATATTTTAAAAAAATAAATAATAATAAAGCGATTACAACTCAAATTCAAGAAGTGATTCAAAATCATTAATTCCTTCACATGATCATTTGACTCAATTAAGATTGTTTTCATTATCATTACTTTCTATCAATTAACGTGTCCTCAGAAGAAATGAAATGTCCTAAAACACTAACAGAATATTTACAAAACAAGGGACAAAGACACAAACACTCACAATCACAAAGAAACATCTCATGAACACAAGTACCACTCCATAGGCTCGCACTTTAGAACCTCGCTAAATTAATATTGGTGGAATTATGAAAAAAAATTAGGTATTATTCAATCGAAAATTTAAAGGGTGTTACCGAAATTTAATAAAAATTGATTTTAATTATTACATCAAAATCATTGTACTTACGAATTTATGTATCTTATTTTTTTGAATAGATATACAAATAAATTTGTTATACCATAAAGTACAAAATATGGTTTGTTGTAATATTTTTATTTATTAAATAATCATTGTTTATTTATTGTAATACTCATTTTTAATTTAATATAATTAACAAATTATTATGTCCATTACTTCTTAATAATTAAATATTATTCATTGTATTTTTAAGAAAAATATTTAATGCATGATGGTGAAAGAAAAACTTTATACACAATATAGAAAATATTGCTTAGAAGGTGTGGTAAATCAGGTAGAATTTATTGTGTTAAGGTTGTTCATGATTATTATGCATATCTGTAACATTTCAAGGATTAAATTCGTAAATAATTCGTGATACTTAAAATCAATATTTTTGAATCAAGACGTTAAAGTATGACTCCCCAAGGATTAACTAACAATCATTACTTAAGGAGGACCCTAAAACCCCCCTTATATCTTCCCCAAAAGCAGTCACCCACGGAGTTCCACGCTACGTGGGTCAAGGACTGGGGTGAGGGGTTGCAGAACCCCAAACCACGGACATGCAGGACGCCACATGAGTCTACTCACGGACTGTGAGTCTTGGGCTATAGGTCACCTCAGAAATTGCCATTTGGTAGTTTGGTCTAGGGGTCTTTTGGGAATTTTCTTTTTGATTAATGGTTATGTTGTACCGTTTTAAGCCTATTTTAAACACCTATTTGAGTATTTTCCCCACCTACACTTATCCATCTAAGATCATCATTCCAATATCTCAAAACAAAAATAAATTCTCTCCAAAATCTTCTATCTAGAATTATAAAGAAGAAGAAGATCTAGTTCGGACTTGAAGGAGGTTTTTTTTCACACTAATTTGTTGGATTTATTAACCTAAGGTATGATAGTCTTGGATTCATGGATAGCTTTCATCCATGGAGTCCTCAAACTCTCAATTTTAAAGTAAGAAATTCCCAAAAAGCTAGGATTTTCAGTCCAAGTCATGAATTCTTTTTAACAATGTTTTTAATGATTTAATTATCATATATTATGATTGAATTGTTGATTATTATTATTATTATTATGAGAAAATCTCCCATGAATTCATGAAACCTCCATAACACAAATTTACGACTTTGTAATGTGGGAGAATACTATGAAATTGTACTTGTAGTAGTTTAGTTGTTTTAATCATGTTATCATCCATGTATTATGTAGTAATTTTAGATATGTTGGTTGAGTGTGATTTATAGTCCTTGAAGGGCAAAACATGAGAATTCGTTATCTGTATGAGACTTAGCTTGTGTATTATGCATTTAAATCACTTTGAAAGTAAGGTGATTATACTATAATTAAATTATTGTATTGATTGGATGATTATCCTTGCATACACACTTAGGTATGCATATCATATAACGTAAAAATTTTATCACATGTAGTGATTCTATGGTTGGAACATAGTCTCACCTAATGAATCTAGGAGTTTTATGGATTGAGTGTCAAGACATTTTTTCGTAATCATAAAGTTAAGTCAAGACTTCACATAAACTCAGTGGGGATGATGCTAGTACCGAGTGGATAGTGATATGAGATGGAAGCCCTCACGATAGTAGAGGCCGGGTTTCTAGAAATAATCTTTTGGGATGAAAGTCCTCATGTAGAGGCCGGGTTTTTTAGTAGCAATCTCCTTACCCCATAAACTATGTGCCCTTATAGGTCTAATAGTTTGGTTCTACCTTAGGCAAATAGGACAACCCTATTTTGATGTGGGGTCGACATCGAATTCTATGAGTAAGCTCTCATGGTCTATGTCGGTTAAAGCTAATCCCACTATGATAACATGAACTAGAATTTGAGTTATATATTATAGTTACTCAATAAGCTCTCTTTAGTTTTTAACTAATATTAATAGTTTGTTGAGTTTTTGTTAAGGTGAAATAATATTTTTCCACGTGAAATGTCATGTGACAAGGTTTTTGCAAAAAAAAAAGAAAAAGAAAAAGAGTGTAACACACACATCAATGAGAAACGTTTCTCAAACTAATACGTGATATTTTAGGCATGAAACTCACACTCTCAATAATTTAGATATGAAACTCAAAAAAAAAAAAAAAGTTTAGGTGTGTTTTTGACACTTGTGTCATGCATTAATAGTTTTTAGAATTGATGGTATAAATTGTATTTTTTAAAATAGTAAAATATGTATTCCATAAACTATGATCGAATGCATGGCAAATTTCACCGAAGTATGACTTGATAGCTAGGTATGTTGTTTTATTATTGTTGTTTTTACATGGCATGACATGTTTTACAACCTCAAGATTAATAACATTTCAGTACATTCTATGTTTAATTTCAAACTACAATCTAAATAAAAAAAATTTAAAAAATAATGTTTAAATCAAACAAATAAATTTGTAACCGAGAGAAAATATGTCTTGGTAATTTTGAGACCCCCATTAAAAAGTAATAGGTATAATATAATAAACTAGAAGCAAAAAAAAAAAAAAACAAACTGTCGACCACAGACCCACGACCTTTTGATCCGAAGTCAAACGCGCTAATCCACTGCGCTATGCGGTCTTGATGTGCAACTTCTTCTTAATAAACTATTTTTATTCTTTTTTCCAATTGAAACACATATTTAAACAGAAAATTTATGTTTAAGCATATTTTGAAACTTAACTTTAAATACTACTACTCCTGTTTCAAAAAGAACGGTCAATTTCCTTTTTACTACGTTTAAAAAAGAATGATCCTTTTTTTTGGCAATAATTTAACTTTTAACTTTTCATCTGACATGTTTAAGGTCGTAAGATATAAAGGGCATTTTGGGACATTTTACAAAATTTCAATTTAAAACCAGAAGATTAAAATATCTTCTTTCTTTTCTTAAACTTCATTTCAAGTCAAATTGGACCATACTTTCTGAAATGGAGGGAAAACTATTTTTCCAAAGTATCACTTAGTATTCAAGTGATTATTAAATAAGGTGCAAGGATAATTAGGTAATGGTACGATGATAAATAACTATTGATGGATTAATTTTTAATTGGACACTTCTATACTTTTTATTTCTTTATTATTAATAATTAAAAAAAACAGCAAAACAAACGAGATTATAATGGATAGTGAAACCTAATACTCTTTTTTGGAGAGTTATCGGGTGATTAAAATTGATATAATTATCATGATAGTAATTATCAATCTAGTAATCACATAATTTATAATAATATTGGCCTATTTATTTGTCATAATATATTTACAAATATATTGTTACGTTGCACAATTACAATCACGAGATTATATTAAATTTTAAGGATGAAAAATAATTATCTAAAATTGAAATTTATATTAGACAGTAAGAGACCTTATAAATGTTATTGAATTAAACATTTAAGATACATATTATATTTTGAAAAGATATTAATCAACAAACATACGCTCTTAACCAATATTATATATAAAAAAATGATTTATGTTTTTTCATATTAGTATATATTAATTAAATTAATAACAAAATTAAAAATTCACGATTTCTATAAACATCATAAAATACACATCGATTAAAAGATTATTATTGTAAATATAATGTCATATATTATGAAAATATTTGACAAAAAAATAAATATCAAGTCAATACTATTAAAACAAATAAAATTAAAAATATAAATAAGTTCTAAATTCGAAAAGAAATCTATTGTAATACTTTTAGATCAAAATTCAACATAACGTACATAAATGTGATTTAAAAAATGAAAACGTAAATCTATAACTTTATTTAACAATAAATTTACTTTCAATTTAAAAATTAGATTACTAACAAAATTATGCTAATGAAAAAAACAAAAGCGAACAAGACTTTTAACCCAAAATAGTAAAATATTTACGCTTATATTGCCCCATTACTTTCATATCATTTTTTAAAATTTTAATTTGACATATAATTTGGGCACTGCATCATGCTAACATCAACGCACATCCCTTTTTACCCTCTTTGATACTATTACAGTATATGAATATATTATGATGGTCTAACAGAATAATTGATCAGCGTCTTCATCTGTTTCTTCCTCCTTGAAATCATCAAAGTATAATGTACTTTGCTTTATCAAAGAGTAATTGACAAATATTTTAATTGAGGTTTACTTCAGTCCTTCGATGAGATTCCTCAATTATCTATGATACCATAACGATATATCTAATATTGTCATATCATTAAGCTATGTTTCGATTTTCGATATTTTAATTTAAAAATAGTTTTAAAAAGAGCCATAATTTAGATACAATTTTTTAAAAATCTGCAAAAAGAGAAAAAGATATACAATATTTTCTATTGAGTTAGAGTTTTATAAATAAGATTGTCACTTTAATATTTTTCTCTTAATTGTTTCTTATTTTTCCTTTAAAAAAGAGTTCAAATCTATATGATACCGATAAAGTATCAATATCTCGATAGAGTATCACATAATACCGATATAATATCAACACGCTAACATAATATCTTAGATTAATCATTATAATAATGCTGATGTCATGCCAATATTGTGGGTGAAATGAGAAAAAGGAGAAGAGTGAATAAATAGTTTGAGCCATGAGTCTAGTAAGGGTACATAGTTAGAGTTGTGTCCAATTTGGATACATAATTTAATAATATTTTGTGTAGTTTACCAAAATAAATATAGAATAAGTAAATTAAATAGACAATACTAAAAAAAAGAAGAAGAAGCATGAAATCACAAAAATTAAAAGTCGAGAATAGGAATAAAATTAAAAAAAATATAAATAGTTAAAAATTTATTTTTAGAAAAATAGTTAAAAGAATTCAAAATAATAAAATTAAATTTTTTTTTAGAAAGTAATCAGCTTGTAATTTTATAATTACCAATAATTCCCAATTACACTTATTATCAAGTAATTATATACCAACCAAATATATGTAGAAACATGACTTTTAATTTGGTTCTAATTTTGAGTGTACACAAGTAGATATTTAAATTTTTATAACATTAAACGAGTAAACGTATGTATCCTACATAAAATATTACATGTCGGACGCCAAGTAGGACATAAAATTTTCATATAGTGTGTTATGTAGGACAAATGTGTCTATTTATTTAATTTTATACATTTTTAAGTGTGTACTTGTACACACTCAAAATTAAAAATCATAGTTATCAATATGCCAAGTTAATTATATTTATATATTATGCCTATATATAATACAACTCAATTATATCAAATCTAATTACACATTCCAAGCTCTTAATAATGTGGAATATAGATTCTTTGATTAATTAATAAAATTAAAAAAAATTAAAATGTGGGATTCCTCATTGTCATTATTTTTCATTTTCCAGAAATAAAATTCAGATTTTACGATATGCTTTGACCAAGTTTAACACTTGTCTTATAAATTGAGGTTTCATATCTCCTTCCTTATTCATATCTTTACTGTTATTTTTCCTTTAATTTTGACCAATCTCGCCCCTGTTATAGATCAGATTTTGTTCCTTTATGGTGTATTTTTTTTCTTTCAAAGATTGTGTTTTGGTGTGTCTCTGTGGTTGTATTATTCTTCAGATAAAAGAATACCTAGGTGGGTTTTGAGGGAATTTTAAAAATAGACCTATTATTGTTGAATAGCCTGGCTATAAACATCAAGATTGTATTTTTTTGTGTGTTGTGGGGTTGAATTTGATTTAGCTCACAGATTGGTAGCTTTTGTGGTTGTTGGATATATTTTTTGTTTTTGAGTGGAAGAACTCAGCAAGAGTAATCAAAGATTGTATTTTGGTTTTGTGGGGTTTGAGGAAAATTGGAAGTTGGTTTTTGTTTGTGGGGTAGATTGATTGACCTTTGGTGTGTTCTGAAGTTGATTTTTGATTCTGATGAAAGAGTACTTTTGTGGGTCGTGAGGGTTGGGTGTTTGTTAATGAGGAAGGGAATCAGCAACAGTATATCAAAGATTGTACTTTTGGTGTTTATTGAAGTTCAGGTTGAAAAAAACATACTTTTAGTGGATTTGAGGGAATCGAAACGTTGTTAGTGTGTGTTGGTGGGGAAAGTTAAGCTACAGTCATCAAAGATTGTTCTTTTGGTGTGTTCTGAAGTTCAGATTGGAAAGAAACATACTTCTTGTGGATTTGAAGGAGTCGAAACTTTGTTGGTTGTGTGTTGGTGGGGGAAAGTTAAGCTACAGTCATCAAAGATTGTTCTTTTGGTGTGTTCTGAAGTTCAGATTGGAAAGAAACATACTTCTTGTGGATTTGAAGGAGTCGAAACTTTGTTGGTTGTGTGTTGGTGGAGGAAAGTTAAGCTACAGTCATCAAAGATTGTTCTTGTGGCGTGTTTTGAAGTTCAGATTGAAAAGAAACATACTTCTTGTGGATTTGAAGGAGTCGAACATTGTTGGTTGTGTGTTGGTGGGGAAAGTTAAGCTACTGTAATCAAAGATTGTTCTTTTGAAGTTCTGATTGAAAAGAAACATACTTCTTGTTGATTTGAAGGAGTCGAAACATTGTTGATTGTGTGTTGGTGGGAAATTTAAGATACAGTAATCAAAGATTGCACTTTTGCGTGTTTTGAAGTTCAGATTTTTTTAAAAAATACATACTTCTTGTGGATTTAAGGGAATCAAAAGGTTGTTTGTTGTGTGTTGGTGGGGCAAAGTTAGCATCAGTCATGTTCTTTGGTGCAGTGGTGTGGGATCCGTGGCTAATTGTTGCTCAAATTGGGTGTATTAATGCTTATACTATTTGATGTTAGGGATATTCTTGGAAATTCTTGTAGGGACTCGTGTTTCTCGAATGAGTCTTGTCTATTTCTTTGATTACGCCACTGTTACTGCTTCAACTGTCACCGGATGGTGCGTCATTGGTTCCTTTCTTCTCAGTTCACTTGCAGGGTGAGTTCTTGTTATGTTCTTTGTGTCTTTGCATGTAAGTTTTTCAATTGCTTGTCAATGCTTTTGTGCTTTAGACTTTGTGATATTTTACCGAGTAATAATGATAAATTGAGTCTTTGTTAATAACTTGTATAAATTGTGTTAGTTTATTCCCCGTTCTGTAAAGTTATTAATTATATTAGCGTGGTGAGAAATTTCTCGCTATAAGCCTGTTCATAAAAAAAGAGAAGATAAATTACAAGCAGTATGCAAAAATAGGAAGTATGCACAATAATATGGTTCTCTACAAATAACACTTAGTCAACTCCATGGTTCACCAAGAAATCAACTACACTTCACAAAATATTGGTCTTCTTCTACTAAAATTCATTTCCCACCCCTTCGAAGGCTCTCATGTGTTCGTTTATTCCTGTTTTTTTTTTGATTTTCAGTTATATTAACTTAGTGAAGAATATAAGTACAAGTAATTAGAAGTGGTCATTCACTGCTGAGTGGTTGTGGTTCTGTTAGATCAAGCAGCATTCCAACCTTTTTTGTTGCAATGACCGGTAGAGGGTTACTTTGCTTATATGCTTCATTTGGGTTGGTTGTTTTATTTGTTATGTTAATGTATTGCTAAATTTTCATATACTCACTCCTAATTGCTACAGGGGAAGTGTGAGAAAGGATATTAATTTATTGATATCTCATTTTTCAAAAACTACCCACCTCTACTCTTTGCTCGATATGAAGTAGAATAAAAATGAAAAATTAGGATAATGGAAGACCTTATTGGCCAAAAACCTGCATGGTCAGACAATATTTGTAGTATATTAGTTTAGGTTAAGGTTCGACTTATAGTACTTCTAGTTTTAGAGTACTTAGTATGATCAAGTCTAAATTATGAACTGCAGATTGGAGTGGGTGGTTTGGATCAAAGGCTGATCCAGGATTTGGATTCATAGAGTGCCAAGTAGACTCATCAATTAAGTCAACTTTAGGCTTCAAATCAAATTGTTCCTCTTTTCGGTCTATATGACAGATCAATGAATAAAATATTTACAGTTATAAGTTGACTATTTATGTATTATATATACTAGAAATTCACATCCTACATTAAATTGAAATCATGAAATGAACAAAGTTAAATTTTTTAATAATATTACCAATATCATAAATATCCATCAATCATTTACAATTGTCTAGGTGAGCTTTCATATTTTGAAATTGATCAATGATTGCATTAGTACTTACGTTTGCAAATATATTATGTTCTATGTAACACATTAAACATTCTTTGAATATTAATCACCAAAGTTATTTTGCATTTCATTTTTATGTGCTTCATGAATGAGAATGCTCTCTCCACACTATATAGTTGTCGTAGCAATAGGTAAAATCAGAGTTAACTTCATAAGTAAATAACATTTTCCAAATCATGAAATCCTTGTAAGTTGGAGAATTTGGGATTTCCACCTCATATATGAATGATAAAAGTATCGAGTTGGTAACTCAAATCTTGAATTTGTTCATTATCAAACTTAACATGTTCAACACTTTGCTAAAGTCTTGATTCTACCTTTATCAAAGTTAGAGAAAGAATTGATCAGATTCAAGCTACCCATCCTAAATAGTAAATAAATATTCACTATATCAACACGATCATTAAGCTCTTGAAGTTGCACATCAATAATAATAAAAAAGACTTCGACGCAAGTGGGTCGAATAACAAACTCCAAAAGACTTACGCTCTTACTTTCTTAGAAAATAAAACTCTTTCAGCTTGGGGAATCAAGATATCACGAATATCATTGAAATCACAAGATGAGGAAGCATCATCCAACAAATATTCTCAATCTTTTCTTCAGAATGTTAAGAAACTCAACGACATTAACTACATTTTGATTTGTTTTCATCATAAAATCTTACACAATTCATTTGACATTGCCAATACTTACAACATCAAGTGAAGCATAGAAACAAATTTAAATGTTTTTAGTTTTTGTCAAAAGATATTCTGCTTAATTTTTATCACTTGAGGTGGAATCCTCATATTCAATCATTTCGAGCACATGAATAATATTATGAGATGATAACAATAAAGTTATCTAAAGTTTTGAAATGTGATCTCAAAACAAGTACCAGTTTGAACTTCACCTGATTGAAGTAATTGCTCTAACTTTTTCAGCTTGGTGATGACAAAGTAAATCTCTATGCTTGAAAGATCCTTCAATAACATCTAATACATTAATAACATGTTTAAAAAAGTCTTCAGAATTCGAATATTTTTTAGCAATAACTACAAGTGTTAGTTGCAATTGATGAGCAAAACAATGAATGTAATATGCCATGGACTATCTTTCTTAATCAAAGTTTTAAGACCATTTATCTCTCTCTTCATAATACTAGCTCTATCATAACCTTGTCCTGGTTGGATAGACTTAGTGAGTGATAGGAAAGTAAAGAAATAAATTTCTTTCTTCAATGAGCATGCCGAGACAAACCATCATTCTACTTCTTCACTATTCTTATCAACATACTGTAAAATAAGAGCCATTTAAAACACATGCAACATCTGTTAGAATTCTAATACTTGAAATCTTAATCACTCAAAGATATAATCTTCACCTCAACAATTCCAAGTCGTGAAATGGCAATTTATAGACATCTCACGCAAAGAACAAATGACTCTTGCTTTGCGGTATGTTGAGAAGACTGGTGAAGTAGTAAACTTGATTTATTGGTCTTATCCATGTTAGTGATACAATGTCCTGCTCATTGAAAAAAAAATATTCTTTGCTTTTCAAACACTCACTAAGTTTATCCATATTACGTGGACAAAATTATGATGGAGTTAGTAATATGAGGGAAGAGATAAAAGGTCTCAAAACTTTGATTATGAAAAATACTACATCTACATATTACATTCGTTGTTTTTCTCATCAATTACAATTAATATTTATAGCTATTGGTAAAAAACATTGGATGTTTAAGACTTTTTTGATCATGTTTGAATGTTGTTAGAGATTCTTTCAAGTGTTGAGATTTACTCCATCATTACTAAGCTGAAAAGTTAAAGTAATTACTTGTTCATATTAGTCAAGGATTACAACAAGAATGAAGGTTCTAAAAACAAGGTGATACTTGTGAGGATTACATTTCAAAATTTTACATAACTTTGTAGTTATTTCTCATGTATTGAACATGAAGGTTCCATCTCAAGTGATGAAAATCAAGCGGAAAATCTTTTGACAAAAAATAAACAATCAACTTTTGTTTTTATGCTTCATTTGATATTGAAAGTGTTGGTGATGTCAAATTGGTCTCACAATATTGTACAAAAAAAAAATCAAGATATTGTTATTGTTATAAAATTTCTTAATGCTACAAGAAAAGATCGCAAGATATGAGGGAAATTGGATGAAAATCTTTGTTGGATGATGTTTCCTCATTTTGTGATTCACATGCTATTTTGATTCCCAAGTTGGACGAATCTTATTTTTTTGAAAAGTCAAAGCGTAAGTCTCCGAGTGTTTGTTATTCACACAACTTGCATATTGAAGCCTTTCTTGTTGTCATTAATGTGAACTTCAAGATCTTAATGATTATTTTGATGTTGTGAATATTGATTTGCTTCTTGGGATGAGTAGCTTGAATTCGACCAATTTTTTCTCTAACTTTGACAATGATAGAACCAAAACTTTATTGAAGTGTTATCCAGGTGAATTTGATAATGGACAGATTTGAGATTTGAGTTACCAACTCGATACATTTATTATTCATATGCAAGGTGGTAATCCCAAGTTCTCCAACTTGCAATGAATTTGTGACAAAGGGTTGAGGCAAATCTTGTAAGTTGACTCTGATTTTATTTGTTCCTATAAGTGTAGAGAGAACATTCTCATCCATGAAACACATAAAAATGAAGTACGAATTAGCATTGGTAATTAATATTTAAATGATTATTTAGTGTATTACATTAAAGTGTAACGTATTTGCAAATGTAAGTAATGATGTCATTATTGGCCGATTTCAATATACAAAACTCGTTGAGGACAATGGTGAATGAATGATGGATATTTATGATAATACATATTAGTAATATAATTGAAAGTTTTAACTTTGTTCACGTCATTATTTCAGTTGAATGTGGGGTGTGAATTTGTTATATACTTAAATTATCATCTTATTACTATTTTAATGATTGATTTGTCAAATAGACAACTAATTCGATCTGAAGCCTAAAGTTGATAAGATTGATCAGTCTACTTGCCACTCAGAGACTCCAAATCCTAGATCTGCCGCTAGTTCTATTTGCCAAATATAATTTGGTGGAAACAGGGAAGAGGGAGCTTGTTATGTAAGAAAAGACAACAAATGCAATGCCAGATAAGGCCAAAAACATTAGTGAAGAATGAATTACTTTTTTTTTACCTTTCCTCCCTAGTTCTGAACTCTTTTCCTTTCTGGGATAAGATAATGAGATAAATACTCCATAATTATGTAATTATGTGACGCTTTTATTTCCCTTGCACATGTTGTTCACAGTTGAGAAAAATACTAACCTGTGAAAAGCTTCCAAATTTCCAGAGAATTTGATTGACCTGCTTGATTGAATTTCCTATGTCTTATTCCCCAACACAGAGCTGGCATTTTACTCTATTTGATTGAGAGGGCAAAGAAGTGCCTAGATTTTTCTGCAACACTCTACATCATCCATCTTTTTATATGCATTGTCTATGGTGGTTGGCCTTCCTCATTAACATGGTGGATTGTGAATGTTACTGGGCTTGCTGTGATGGCATTGTTAGGTGAATATTTGTGTATAAAACGTGAATTACGAGAAATTCCCATTACAAGATACCGATCAAGTAAGCTCCTTTATTATTTTGCGATGGTCTCTTTCTGTCTTGTTGGCGTATGTATGATCACTTCGGTTGGGTGTTTTTCAGCTATTCTAATGATTTTTCCTTAGGATCTATGATTATTGCATCTTCTTAATTATGATGTGAATTGGAATTCTGTAGATGTTCTCTGTCCATTCTAGTCTGTAGGCTGTAGCTATCTTTTTTTTTAATCTATATATTTGATTTTGCATCTATATATTGAACCATATTTTACCTCACTTGTGAGATTTCACTGGGTATATTGTTGTTGTATATTGAACCATACTGGTAGTTTTCTAAATTTCTCTTTTCTATGGTGCTTTGGCCACAGCTTGTCATAGCTATTAGTGGTGGCATGTATGAACCTTCTGAACTTTACTCGAGTTTTTTTTGACTTAACAAAATGTTTTGGAATTTATATATATTTGATACAACTTAGTAGTTATATGTGCTGTGTTCAAGGTAATGAACAAAAATTAGAGCAGTAGATGGAGTTGCAAATTTGTCATTATTACCACAAGCATGACAAAAATGGAAGTCAGGGAGAGGGAGTCAGAATCTCAAGAAACTGATGGGAGTTAATGGGATTAAAGTGCAGAATATTGTTCAGAGACCTCGAGGTTGACTTTTCCTTGAGCACCATGTCTCTTTCCTACATGAAGTAAAGTGTCTTTCTTCCACTTGCTGGTCCTTATTAACTGAGGTTTGTCATTGTCAGCATCATGGAGATTAAGTTTCAATGGATAAAGAGGGATCCCTAGATACCATGTCACCGTGGGAGAGTTTAAATTGAGTAATGCTAACTATTCCATTATTCAAACAAACTCTTTGATGACTTATTGGCTGCTTGTTTGAGGAGTAAGTTTCACAAAGACGGAGCAGATTTTTTGACAGTAACTCATGGAGTAATAAATTATATAGTGTTTGTTCAAATTGTACCAGATGTTTGGGATTTCTTTTGATTGTGTCCTTGATATTACAAAAAAAGTCTAAATTTCATCCTTCACATTATGAATTAGTTGATGTCATTCCTAGTATTTGGAAAATATGTCTTGCATACCATTAGCTATATGCTCCTACCTATTTTGCCAAAGCTGCATCTTTGAGTGTTTTAGCTGAGCCACATCCTTGCAGTATCAATGCGGTAAGGGAGACATTTTTAGGACAACTTTTAAGTCTTCCTGTAATTTGGTCAAACTTCTTTTTCTGTGAGGTAAACGTTGTGTTAAAGCAACTCAACCTCCCCCCCAGTGCCTAATATATCTTCATAACCCCCTCTTTAGAAGTTTAAGGTAGATTCTTCGTAGAACTCAAGGTAAAGTACTATCTAATTTAAGTCAGAAGAGGACTTTGCCCTCAGTATGCTGAGAATCCATATTTTCTTAGCAAAAGAATGACGAGCTTGAACCAAAGAAGGATTTGAGGGTTTAGTTTACTGGAAGCCATGTTTATTTCTAAATACCTACCACTTCAACCTTAAAAAAGAAAAAGAAAGAAAGAGTCAACTAGATTTTAAGAGAAAACACAGTTTCTTAAAAAATGACCTTTTTGTCGTGCTTGAATCACGTCTCGGAAAATATTACTAGTGCGGACAAACGTATACTTATCTTAAATTGTAGGAAAGGAAGACATTAGGAATACCTGCAACAAAATTGAAATCAATCCATTGTTGTGGAAATTAAAGATGGATCCTTTTCCTTATGCTTTGACACTCCTCTTTACTTCTCTGGTTTTGCTTTCCCCTTTTTCCTTTTCTTTTCTCTTCTTTGAATATTGTCTAGTACTTTAGTTGGACGCTTCTGTTCTTCTCTGTGTTAGTATATCACTTCACCCCATGATTATGAAAACTTCAAATCCTTTTAGAGACTTGGAGACTCATCACAAAATGACTAATGAAATATTTACATGCATAGTATTCAAAGTCTACGTGTTACATATTATATATAAATTCTATATAGCCGTGTATTTCTGCTAGTTCAACTAATTCAAAATTCATCTTATGTAGGTGTTTGACTAAGTAGATGTTCAACAGCAAACAACATTTTTCCTTCTTTGACTCCACTATTTTGAGAAGATTTAAAGAGTCTCTATGCAATTTATTTCTCTTGCCTGTGGCAATGACATACTAAGGACTGCTCGGTAATTGCCAAATCCACAGAGAAAACAAGCTAAGCAGCTGAGTTATTAGGTGATTTCTTTTCAATCTGAGGAAACTTTGAAAGAAAGTATAGCAACTTTAATTTGGATCTTCGTTGTTGCCAAGCTACTTGTATATTAAGTTATTTAGTCATGATTGATCATTTGCCAAGTTGCATGCATTGTTTTGCAGCCAATCTTCTGATCATAAGTTAGAAGTACTTTGATCCTACTTGTTCCTGCCGGGTTGTCTTTCCTTGTGTTTGAACCAGGATAATACAAATGGTTGAAGAATTTGTTTGAGTTACTAATATATCAGAATTTCAGAAAATCTTCCAGGTTCTGAATAGGAGAAAAAGTTAGTCAAGTTGCTAAATGTAAATTTTATGAAGTTCTATTTAGAACATGTAGAACGAAAAGCGTTTTTTCCCCCAATGTTTTAAAGTGTAGAAAGAGACAGTAAAAACATTTCATCTTCCTTGATAATGAATGAAGAGAAAAAGTCGAAGGTACTTGTTCAAATCAAGTTTTAGAATCTCTTTTTTCCTTTTCCTCACGAATCTGTTTATCTTCATTGGTGATGTATGGTTATAATGACACAGTATTTTGTGCTGTTTTATAACAATGGAACGTCAATTATTTGACGTTTACTAGCACATATAAGTTTGGTATAGAATGGGAAACATGGTTAGTGAGGATTCATTTAGTTGATTCTAACTTGTTTGGGATTGAGACTTGTTTATATTGTTCGAGATTGAGAGAAAAACAATGAAATCACTTGACCATGATGATGCACACATTATAGGTTTAGTCGATGAACTTCTCTCCAACGTTACAATTTTCAAAAATTTCAGAAAGACTTGTTGGGAATCGCTGATTGAGTCGATTCAACCAGGAAAGACATGGGACTTCTGAATGTTGCTTGGACTGAGGTAAGTAAAGACTGGCTAGTTACATAGTTAAGTAGGGTAATACCCAAGGACTACAGTGAATTGAAATTCATGCATTGACTCAGATTTGAACTAAACTCTTACATAAAAAAACTTCAACCAAGGATCTGATATTATTAACTTTCCAAAACTTGAGTTGTAGTAGTATCATCACATGCCATTTCAACTTTATCTTATATTGGCAATTCAGTTTCAGTCTTCCACAAAGATGAGATATCAGCCACAGCTTCAGAAACTGTTAGATATATTCCATTTAATCCAAAGCCCTCAAGAGCATTAGATTCATGTAGTTTTTCCATAACATTCCCACCTGGATTTGCCAGCACAAGCTGAAAACAAACACACAAAAACAGAAAACAAATTTTGTTAGAAAATTTTTGACTTATGAAGGGAGGAACCACAAGAGCATCTTTGATATGACTGATGTTTTTACCTTAAGAGATCGTTTGTCCAGCGTCTTTCTTAGTTCACATATTGTGTCGATGCCACTTGAGTCTATGGACGACACAGCTGGTAAACAAAGATGGTGTTTTGTTACTCAACATGTTACAGATACAGACTATCAGCAAATTTCTCTTCTGTTTTTCTCTTTAACTGACCTGTCATGTCGATAATTACACATTTGATTGCAGTTTCTTGGTTGGTTTCTATCCTCTCTTCCTCTTCGCGTATCCATCTCAATATCCTGTAGTTAACAAAATGGAATCCCAAGTAAATGTAACTGTGAAATGAATACAGAATGTGCAGCCTTTGTTAGTAACTAACCTTTCTTGTAAGTAGGTAGAATTTGCAAAGTAGATAGGAGCTTCTACAGCTAGGATCAGGAAAGAAGGAATTCTAACAGCTGTTCTATATCTGTTCATGTTTTGATATACTTGAGTTCCAGGAATATTGCCCAAAACACCAGTATTTGGCCTTGTAACATGCAACAAGATCTTAAAAACTGAAACTCCAACCTAAAATTTCATGACCAAAAACCAGAAAATATTAGTTAGGTAAGATCAGAAGGACTTAAAATGTGAAACTTTCGAGGGGATGCTTACTGCAATGGCTAGGCCGAGAGGTACTGAGATGAAAAGAACACCAAAAAACGAACACAAGCAAGCTAAGAAATCGAGCTTGTCAACTTTCCATAACCGTAATGCAGCCTGATAATCGATTAGGCCAATCACTGCTGTTATGATGATTGCTGCCAGGATGACAATGGGAGTGTAATAGAACAGTGGCATTAGAAACAGCAGGGTGATTAACACAGCTGTTGCCATTATTATGTTTGAAACAACCGTTTGTGCCCCAGCGTTGTAATTTACTGCTGATCGAGAAAAGGATCCTGTAGAAGTAAAACTTATCTAGGTAAAAAAGGAGAGAAAATCTTACTTGTACATATAAAATAGCTAAAACCACAGGCCAATAACGCCAAAGAAAGAGATCCCTTGGCGTAAGTTTTCTTTTTTTTTTTGTAAATGCACTTGTTTAAATTTCTGGCTCGGACACTGAATGAGGTAGGTACCTGTTGTAACATAGCAAGAAGAACAGGATCCAGCCATGTTCATTAGTCCAATAGCCATCATTTCTTTGTTTCCATCAACTTGGTAATTCTTCAAAGCAGCAAATGTCCTTCCTACTGCAATCCCTTCCTGTAAGTCCATGAAAACGTTGATCACGAACCACATCTTCACAATTCCTATGACCAATCACTTGTAATAGATAAAACAACTTACTGTGAGTGCTAAGATCCCAGATACAATGCCAGTTTTGATGGCAAGTGGCAGGTAAGGACCACTCAGATATAACATGTTCATTGAGGGTGGATTTAGACCCTTTGGCAGATGTCCGATCTGCAATAACTCAAAGTTATTTCCAGTTTTATTCTGCTTAAAACTTATGTATGAACGTTAAGTTGATGCATTTTACTTACAGTTTGAATCCCATGAGCTTTCGACTTAAGGCAGGCAACTACAAGAGTTGATAGAACAACCGAGGCCAACGGAGATGCTGCTGAAAGCCAGAAAAATTTCGGATTCCTGGTGCTCTGAAATCAGAAAAGAAGATTCAACAACGTCAAAATTCAGAATGTCGGTATGTTTTCTTTTTCTGTACATAAACCAAACAAATACATACGATTTGCCTTGTTGTTAGCAGGAACGCGAGGAAACAAATGCCCATAACTATGGTTTGCCAAGACCACTGCATAGAGATATAGAAGATTAAAATTTCAACTTATTGACCAGACAAAGATTGTTGCTTTTTTCGACAATCTTATAAACTCAGATATATAGATGCTTCTTCTTACTTCGTCTTTGTGCTGGAAAGCAGAAGACAATACAGGAACTATTTGCATCTTGCTTGTGAAATGGACCATTCCTAGCAACCCTTTCAGTTGTTGCAACGAAACTATGACTGCTGCACCAGCCATGAACCCGACTAACGTTGCCTTAGATAGAAAATCGATGATAAATCCCAACCTACAAACGTTTAAACTATCTGAGTTCTAACATAATTTGTAAACACAAAGTTCTAACATTCATTTTTCACAGATTCCTTATTAGTATACTTACGCTAGAATGAATGGACTTGCATACAGTGGAAATGATATATCAAGGATTCATAAAGCCGACTCACAACTTGTTTAGAATTAAGACAATTCAACTCAATATCACCATATCTATATGGCTAAAGACGGAGATTAACTCATTAACTCGTCTATAGTCCTACAAAGGTAGATGTAAAGTTTGCGTACATCTTATCCTTCTCAGATTCACTTGTGAGATTACACCGGATATGTTATTGTTCTTAAAACTCGGAATCTTTGTTATTTCATAGTGCACAAAGCTCCACTCCTTTTCTTTTTGTTGCTTTTATTAGTGCAATATCTCTAAATGATTCTTCTTTCTAATACTTGTTTCCACTTGGTCATTAGAATTATTCTCCCTTTTTTTTAAGCCATTAAAAAGTCCAAATTAACAAAAAGAAAATTGTGTTTTTCAAGGGGACGAAAAGGATTTAAGTTATATACACTAACAATTACCTGAAAAATCCGAGTGAAGCCTGAAAGACTCCAGCAAAAAGTGTAGCTGTAAAAGCCAATTGTAGGTAAAGAATTGGTTGTTCAGTGTAAGAAACAACTTCACTTAGCATTGTGCCCATAACAAGTGATGCAATTGAAACTGGACCAACTGCTAAGTGTCTTGAACTTCCCAAAACTGAATAAATCAATGGTGGCACAAAGCTTGAATCTGCATTATTAGATTGAACATAATATTATTATTACAGTGACGGAGCCAGAATTTTATGAATTATATATATATATAGTGATGGTCTGTCCAAAACTATAAGTGCAATAATGTTTTGTATCCATTGATATTAATATCTTGCATGTCTCTGCCTTCAATTAATAGAACAAGTGTAGAATCCACTTTTAAAATATTTCATAAATCTAACAAAGCTCATTTCTTTTATAAATTTGTTTTTAGTTTATATCCTTTTTACAAAAGATCTAAAGGCAATTTTTTTAAAAACAATTTATAAAGGCTAATTTCACCAATCTCCCAAACACTACTAAAAATCACAATTTTTCCACAGGAAAATATTTGGAGGCTTTTTACTAGATATTTTGATTGAATGAGTGAAAAAAAATATGTTTTCATATGAAAATTATGAAAGTATCTCACTATATCTGTGAGAATTTGTTCCCACCATCTTTTTTGCTGTAAGAAATAAGTGGAAAAATTATGTTTTATTGCATAAATTTCTTAGTAATTTGTGATTAAAAAAAAAGCTTTTGTTTTAGTTGTGAAACTAATTAAAAGTTGATATCAAATGTAGTTATATTTTGTCTAATTTAATTCCAATACAACTAAAATCCCATTATCATGGTGAAAAAATGTTACACTAAATTCTATAATCATACAAATTCTATAAATTAAATACTAAACAAAATAAAAAAGAATTGTAGGGAACTTACATAATCCAACAATAGGTGGCAAATTAGCAAGTTTAGCATAGCTAATTCCTTGTGGTATAGCAAGACTAGCAATGGTAAGTCCAGATATGATATCAGGCCTTAACAACTTGAGATTATACTGAGGGCCCCACTCAAAAACAGGAAAAAAAAATTGTAATCCCAAATACAATTTCATCAAACATGTTTGATTCTTGAACTTATGAAGTGGATCATCTGGGAAAAACACTTCTAACAACCTATGTCTTAGTTTCTCAAGTGTTGTTTTGTGTGGTGGCAAACAAACTCTATGCACTTCAAGTGGTGCTACATCGTGATGATTTGATATTGGTAATTCAAAACCCTCTTCATTGCATGCATGTGTTGACAAATCTTCCACTCTATTTGAACTTAGTACCATATTATAATAAGAGGTTTTCGATATGATATCAATCAACCAAGTTCAGATATCGAGATCAGACTCACAAATGAATAGGAAGCGAAGAGAAGGTCTTTAAGACTAAGTTGGGAGAGTGGTAGAGAGGTAGTTGTTTGTTGGTAAATGGAGAAGGACACTTACCATCCTTTTATAGGGACAACATTAACTATCACAATCCCCAAACAAAAAAAAATAAGAAAGGTGGT